GAAAGAAAGAAAGAAAGAAAGAAAGAAAGAAAGAAAGAAAGAAAGAAAGAAAGAAAGAAAGAAAGAAAGAAAGAAAGAAAGAAAGAAAGAAAGAAAGAAAGAAAGAAAGAAAGACTATGCCTGGAAGCTGTCTACAAAAGGCTCAATACAATATTGATTTCAGGGTCTTTAGTTTCAGAGCAGTCCATCTGGCTCGAGTTTTATAAATGATCTAGGTGAGAGGATAAAAGGGGAACTCATCAGATTTGCAAATGACACCAAAACGGGGGGAATAGCCAACAGTCCAGAAGGCGGCCTCAAGACTCAGAAGGATCTTGACAGACTTGAGCATTGCACCCTGTCCGACAAGAAGCAGTTCAGTGATGAGAAAAGTCTGCTCCTGCACCTAGGTAGGAAGAAACCAAATGCACAGGGGGAGAAGAGAAGGTACCTGCCTTCTATTCTATATCTGTGGCAATAGTAATTGAGGGGATCTAGGCGTCTGAGTGGATCACCACTTATTACGAGTTAGCTGCCAGAAAAGCCAACACATTTCTAGGATGCATCAACAGAGGAACAGCATCAAGATCATGAGAAATGATAGTGCTGCTCTACACTGCGCTAGTGAGGCCACATTTGGAATACTGGCTGCATCCAGTTTTGGTCACCATGATACAAAAATGATATTGAGACTCTAGAAAGAATGCAAAGAAGAACAACAAAGATGATTTGGAGGCTGGAGCTTAAGTCATATAATAAACAACTAAGGGAACTAGGTTTATTTAGCCAAATGAAGAGAAGGCTGAGGGGAAACAACATAGTGATCTTCCAATACTTGAGGGGCTGTCACAGGGAAGAGGACATTAATTTATTCTCCAGAGCACCTGTGGACAGGATAAAAAGCAGCGGGTGGAAGCTTGGCAGAGGGAGATTCAGCCTGGAAATAAGGAGGGATTTTTTTGATGGCAAGAATGATTAATCAGCGGAACAGTTTGTTTCCCAGTGTTGTAGATTCTCCATCATTGGAGGTTTTCAAGACTGGTCAACCATTTGACCAGAATGGTATAAGATCTCCTGCCTTGGGCAAGGGCAAGACCCCGAGGTCCCTTCCAGCCCTATGATTCTGTGATTCCACTCTGTACTTCTGGTTACTGGATGTTTGGAAGACTCTGGCCTTCAGTTACAGCTTGGCCAGTTCTACATTAAATCCTACATAGTCCCTTCACAGTCTGATTACTATTACAATGCAATCTACACAGGGTGCCCTTGAAGACAATTCAGAAGCTGTAGCTGCTCCAGAATGCAGCAGTGCAGGCCGTATTGGGCATGGCTCGCTACACTCAAGTAACACCACTATTACACAAGCTGTCCTAATTGTGAGTGGTATTCTGCTGCAATTTACGATGCTGGTTCTCCCCCTGAAGGCCGCCATAGCATAAGGCCAGATTATACAGTACAATTTCCCACATCTCTGCCTGACTTCCATCCATCCGTCGAAGCACGAGAGCAATGCCTTTTCTGTTGCAGCACCTGGACTTTGGAATGACAGCCCCGCCCCCAGAGATCCCTGTAGCACTAACCCAGGAGTGCCAAACTCAAGGCCCCGCGGGCTGGGCTGCCTAAAGATATCAAGGGACTGGCCCACAATGCCTCTGGTGGCTAAAACGGGCCATGTGTGCCCCCCCCCCACACACACCTTGTTTTCACCCTCCATGGCCTTCTGCAGCACTCTGCTGGCTGAAACCAGGGCTGAAAAACGGCAGAAAAACGTGCCAAAAAACATGCCCAAAATGGCAGAAAACTGGGCCCACAAACAGACCCATAACAGGCCCCCCAAAAGACCAAAAACAGGGCAAAAACGGGGCACATGGGCCTGTTTTTTGGCCAGCATTGCTGCAGGAGGCCATAGAGAGTGAAAACGAGGCGCAGGGGGGCTGCGCCCGGATCCCCCACGCCCTGTTTTGGCCAGCAGGGTGCTGCAGGAGGCATCCGTCCCCCCCCCCGGCCCCCAGAGGAGAACTACAGTGCTGATTCGGCCCTAGAAGAAATCCAGTTTGACACCCCTGTTCCAACCCAATCTCTCAAAGCATTACTGTTTCCCTTGGGTTAGGGTGTTCGTGAAACCCTGGATGGCTGGTTGCTGTGCAGCTCTTTTGGTGATTTTCTCATTTTAAGTATAAGCTCCCCAGAGCCATGATGAAGTTAGCTACCCAGCAGGAGGGAGGCCTGGTCCAAACACAAGGCTACCTCCAGTTCAGCTGCTGCAGGGGGAGACCTGCACTGCCCCAGTTATCCCTTGGGGCCCAGGACATCTGCCCTGTGGGGCTCTGGCACTGCAGCCTCCCCTGGCCGTGCCCAAGTGCTAAGTCCTTCACCAGACAAATGTGCTTTCTAAGATTTGGGAGAAATAATCATCACATTCCCTTACATCACTAGTGATATTTCTGAAACAATGTTTAGCTTCGTTTCCTGATTTGTTGCTGCAAATTGTTTAATGACATTATAGGGGGCATAACGAAACAGGAACAACCTAAGAGAAATTGGCAAACACAAATTGTTCCAATTATAGAGAAAATAGAACTTTGGGGAGGAAGCCGGATTCTACAAAGAGTGTGGTTGAGAGAGGCAGCCATTCAGGACACGGAGCCCTTCCAACCCTGTCTTAAGGTCGAACTGCTCTTTAGCTATCCCAGACATAATGTGCATCAAACAGTAATTAACGTACTTAAATTCAGATGGTAAATACAACTTGCCAAGTCTTAAGAAGTTGAGAACATGTCGAAACATTTTTCCATCTCCATGAATGAGGAGACTCTGGCCATAAGCAATCCAATATACTTTTTTGCAATTTGACAACAACTCTGGAAACTAAAAAGAAAAAAAGGTAAGAGATTTCAAACCAGCTCTTTCCATAAGCTTTCTCTCAAATGGAAAAGACTATTTTCCTTACCAAAACCCCCCAGATTTGTATTCGAAAGACAGCTCACAACGACAAAATAATATCAGGTGCAGAGGGGCACCACGGAGGACTGGCGTTGTTGGCATGGAATCAGCCTATGGCTTGGAGGCCGTCCACTTTGCCAGGCTTCCTCCCTTGGTTCCAGAGGGGAAACGGCCACCGGAGTTTGCTGCAGTAAAAATGTCTTTTGCTCACTTTTACCATGGCATATATATATTTTGTAAAAAAAAAAAAAAAATCAGATACATTGATTGTCCTGAGTCTCAAAAGTCATTGAAAAAATGCTTTTATCAGTTTGGCTGGTCTTTAAAAGACTAAAACTGCAACGCCACAGCAGCCCAATGTAGTACAGGTAGCCTTCAAGTTATGACCATAACGAAGCCTGCCCACGAGGGCCGAAAATTGGGACAAACATTAAATGAATTACATCAAGATCTAAGTTACTGTCTCTCCTTGAAACAGACCCTTCTAGACCCAATGTTAGTAATTTGTTCTTATATTGTCTAGGGGATGGCTCCTCATATATCACTTCTTTGGTTTCCATTTTTTTTAAGAGCTGTAACCATCAGAGAACGCTGTAATTCCCCTTAGTCAAGTTTTTGGTGACCAACTGTTCATGATTAATTTTCCCATGTTCTTCTTTTGTTGTACTTGTGTTTTGGTCTGTGACACAAATAAAGTATTATTATTATCAAGTAACAACCAGCCATCCCTGCTCCCCCCCCACTGTGCATTCCTTAAAACCGAAGGTGTCAGTCATTAAGTGGAGCTCAGAGGTGGGGGGTTCCTGGGAGGCCCAGTAGAGGCACAAGTCCCCCTGCCTGGGCTCCCCAAGGCCCCCCTCACCCCCAGGATACCCCATGCTCCACTTTCTGTCCCGGGGGGGGGGGGGGCTTGTACACGTGTCTGCTGTGAAGTTGGCTCTCTTGCCAGCGAGAAACAAGGGGGAAGGAAAATGCGGGGTGCCCCTGCCTTTCCTGGTCCTGCCCTTCCTCTTGGCCAGGTGCCCCTGCCTTTCTGGGGTAAAAGAAGGGCCAGGCCCCTCGTGGCAGAAAGGACCCTCGTGGCCAGGTCATCGAGGCAGAAAGCTCTGAAAGCTCTGAAAGCCATTTCCACGAGGAATTGCTGGAGCACTGACAATGGCGGTCTCTTCCAGGGGGCCTGGGAAGCAGCAGACCCCAATGCGCTGCAGGGTCCTTTCAAGGCAGGATGGGGGCAAGAGAGGCGGGGGTGCTGCCACATTCCCGGGGTTGGTCATAAGGGCAAATGACCATGGGGACCATTGTCACTTTGAAACAGGATCACACAGTGTGTAGATTTGGGGTGTCTGTCATACTCTGAACATTTATTAAGTGACCCAGAGTTCCCCTATCCTCAGATAAAATAATTTTAAAACATCACAATCTCAAGCAAAATCCTGTGCCCTCATGCTAGATTCATAAATAGCTCTAAAAGTGAGGAAAAAATGTGGACTGGAAAGTTATGTCATCTTCCAAGAGAAAGTAAGGACCCTGCCAGGCAGCCCCTCTAGAATGGGGCCCATCGGCAGAAGAACCACTGGGACCAGACTGGCTGAAGTTCACCCTCCAAGCTCTGCCCAGCCTCACTCCCAAGGCTAGCAGGAGGAAGGCACAGCCCTTCCCGTTTGTAATAGAGCAGCAGCCAACCTTTCTGGCACCAGGGCTGTGTTTGCAGGGAAAACAATTTTTCCACAGACTGGTGGAGCGGGGTGGTTTCACACACAACCTAGATCCTGTCTTCTGCTTACATGGCCCACTTCCTGACAGGCCATGGGATGGTCCCAGTCCAGGGCCTGGAGTTGGAGACCTCTGTAATGGAGGACCATTTGTGGCTTAGCTTCCCCTCCTTCTGAGAATCCCCTGCCAGCAGGAAAACTGCCAACCAGTGGCTCTCCTTAAAAGGCGGCAGGGCTGGGCTGGATCTTTGGGCAGAGGCTTCTCTCAAGTTGCCCAACTGACAGGTCAACCTTGTTGAGGAGAGAACTTCATGGACTTTCCTTCCCACTTCATCCAGTAATCCTCCTGCATGCCTTTGGCAGTCAGGATAGAAGGAGGGGGAATGGGCGTGGGGGGGGGGGGCAGAGCCAGGAAAAAGGAGCACCCTCCATATAAAGGAGTGGCAATGCCAAGCAGCAAGTGGCAAGTAGCCTCAAATCTCTTGCACAGGAGATAAAAGGGCTCAAAGTCCTGTAAGCAATAGGAAGTCCAGTTTGGTGTCAGCAAAAAAAGGAAACAAAAAAACTTGGGGAGAGAACTAGCATCACTCAGCTGGCAAACTCCAGCTCTTTCAAAGGAATGCTATACCTGGGTTTCCAGAAAGCCTGGGTGACCCACAAGCCTTTTGGGAAGGCGGAAGAGGTGAGTAAAAAGTAAGCAGATAAGCCCACCATATGGCCAATCCCATTGTTGAAGGTGAAGCCCATGATAAAAACTGGGTTGGAAGGGGAGAGAACTCCCTGGACTTTAAGCAGGCTCGAGTCTGGCCTGGGGACAAAACAAAGGCCGAAACAAAGGCCGTACCACAAGAAGAATTCCAGGGCTGGTTTGTGGTTTGGGGGATGCGAGGATGAGCTCTCTAAGGTAGAAGCTCTTCCACGGTCACCAGAATTCAGGAAAGGGAATGGATGACTCTGGAATTCTCTCACACATCCCAGCCTGCATTTCACCAGGAGAAGCACAACAAAAAGCACAACAAAAATCATGAGAGGTCAGGTTTTAAGTTCTCTGTGCAAACTGTCACATGTATTCTGAGCTTAGTTACACAACATGCTTCCTCTAGATTTCTTTAGGATAAGCAGCCTAAATGTCCCAAAGGGGCTTTTTCAAGAGGCTTTCTTGTTTTTCTTTCAAGATGTTTCACTTCTTATCCAAGAACACACCACAGCTCAGTCCTTTCAGCAGTTCCAAGGAGGCTCCACACCCATTTGCACCACTCAGGTGACCCTGACAACCAGGGGTGGGATTGAAAAATCCCAACATCCGGTTCTCTGCCCGGTTGCTGGGTGGGCGTGGTCCTGGTGGGCGTGACCTACCAGAACTTCCGGGAGGGCCATTTTTCCCCTTCCCCAGAGTCTGGAGGCTTCCCTCGGGCCTCTGGGAGGGCAAAAAAGGCTTCCCTCGGGATCTGGAGGCCCTCCAGAAGCCGGAAACAGGCCCATTTCCGGACTTCCGGAAGAGCAATTTTTTGCCCTCCCAGAGCCTCCGTGCGGATCCTGCACTTACTGCATCCAAAATGGGCCACGTGGAGACTCCTGGGAGGGGCAAGGTGGGCGGGGCCAGCCAGTTGGTTCAATTATGGGTTCAGGGAACCAGATGTAAATTTAACATCTGGATCACCCGACCCGGCCCGAACCAGCTGAAACCCCACCCCTGCTGAGGACACAGATAAACCTCCAAGTGGCCTCAACGATTGTCTAAATAAAAGGACACAAACGACCAGCTGCCTGCAAGGTGTATAAATCATTCCATTCCCCCCCATCCAGTCAGAGCTGAAGAAGCTTATAGGATGAGAAGCGAAAGGTCTTCAAAGAAAAAACAGAAAGTCCAGTTGCCTCTTGAAAAAGCACCTTGGGGACAACTGTGACCTGGATGACTGAGAAGCTCCATTGACATTTAGCTAAATATTGGCCGCTCTAAAGCAAGCAAGATAAAGATACTTAATAATTATACCTTTAATAACGTGTGCAAATAGGTGGCATACCAGTGGCTTCCTACATAGACTTTGACAATATGATGGAGGGAAAAGGCTGTTATTTCTGCTGCCCACTCTGCATCTACAAAACACAATCCAAATGGCAGAAGGTCCACTTTTATACTTTTGCAACACAAAGGAAAGGATTCTTGAAGGAATGAAATGTGCTTAGCCATCTGAACCACACAATTTCCTTATAAATGATTGGATCAGGGAAGGAAATCAGAGAAATTTCATTACTGGCTCAAACCATTTTGCGATCTGTAACTATTCTAAGATCTACTTCACAAGTTCCATTACCAAGCCAGGGATCCCTTGGCTTATATACTAGATCATCTTATGTGGGAATTCTCAACAATGTTGTGCAGGTCAACAACTAAGTGTATGAGCTGAATTTGTACAGTACAGTAACCTAAAATATGACTGGACAATTTCAGTGTGTCCAATGAAGAAAGCCATTCAGGTCAATGGTGTTCCATTCCAAGTAAATGCACATAGGAGGACAGCTTGGTAACATCCTTAAAAATGCCTAAGCAACATTTTAATTTTCTTCTCCCACTAAGAGAAAACATCAATTATTCTATCATATATTCATCCTTAAAAAAGCAAAGTCTCCTTCAAGGTCAGCTTGGCCCCCCGATGACCGTTACCCCTCTTCTGCGATGTTTGCCACAGCCTTTGGATGTTTTTTCCTTACCCAGATGATTCCCACAACAGTTTCACATGCATAATAAATCCCAAGGGAGGCACAACTTACTTTTTACCAGGGAATCTGTGGGCGTCTTCGGATTTAGAAATCTTTTTAAAGCGTCCTTCATTGGCTCATAGATGAGATCCATTTGATCCAAATACATGCAAAGGTGTGGAAGTTCAGATGTATTTCGTGTAAGTGGAAGTCTGCAAGTTCCTAACCAATTCCTTTGCATAGAAAAAGAGAAAAACTTGCCAGAATTGTAGATTTTTTTATCATTCCTATTTTAAGACAGCTATTGGATTATTTCTTTCCCTTCTCTCATCTTTATACAGACTTCTTACCTACTGCTTTTCTACTTCATATACATATATCAGATTTCCTCACCCTAAAAAAAAGATGCAGATCCTCATCACATGCATATTAATTGGCCATTAAACCTTGCTTAAGCAATATTGTTAGCAATATCACTTCATTACATAAAATATTGAACAGTTAGAAACCGAAGCTTTTGGGTCATAGGGTCAACATATTGTTTGGCTCCATGCAGAAGCTAGTAGACCTTGGCTTTTAAAATAATAAAATGTACAAAGCATAATTTAAGACCAAACAAGTTCAGGATTATTATGCAGCTGAGGGTGGAACTGTGAAGTCTCTGTGGAGTTTCATTACCCAACTAGATAGCAACTTCAGTGTGAGGGAGTGTGGGTTTTTTCCCCTGTATATGTACAGCAATTTGCTATGCCAATGTTTTTTGGGGGAGGGTGTTTCTCCTCGGTATTTCCATGAATAGATTGTTTCCTGTTTGACTATCAATCAAGATGACTGACTGATATTCCCATAAAACCATCCTTAAAGGGCCCACCAAATGCTGCAGGTACTTACTAGAGGGCACCACAAAACACACTGACTATAGGTTAGTCCCACGACACAACTCTGTCTACTCAGTTCCATCTGACAGAGGCACCCCAGGACGAAATCAGCACCCCTCAAAGAAGTTAAAACCACTCCATGGGATCCATGAGGGTCTTGGGAGCAGCCAGCTAGAAAATGGATCCAGAAGGAAAAACAACCGATTGCCTATCATTGTTCACAGTTCTCCACATGAAGCGGTTTGTCCGCTGCTACAGTCCCCTCCTGTGTTCTTTTCCTGGAGAATAAGAGTTCTATTGGCTCTCAGTCGGCATCCTCCATCCATATCAGTGGTGGAATTCAAATTTTTTTACGACCGGTTCTGTGGGCGTGGTTTATTTGGTGGGCATGCTTGGTGGTCGTCATGTGATTGGATGGGCGTGGCCAACTCAATGTCACTCACATCAAGGGGTGCCTCACCTGGCCCCTCCTCTCCCAGCCATTCCTTGTCACCCAGCCTCAATGTATCTATAGTTCTGTAAAAATGTTGTTCAGCTTTTTTTGACTTTATTATCTACATGCTACAGATATACTTTCATGGACCACTGAAAGGAGGAAAGGGCTCACATGCTTTGCCCAAGGGTGTGATAGGCAACAGGCTTTTAAAGGGCTGCCAGAAAGAGGGGGCAATGTATTTTCCAAAGCACCAGAAAGCAAACAAGAAGCCATGGATTGAAACTGAACAAAGAGAGAAGCAAACTCAGACTAAGGAGAAACTTCCTGACTGTGAGAACAATTAACCAGTGGAACTGCCTGTCTCCAGAAGTTCTGGGTGCTCAACCACTGGAAGTTTTTAAGAAAAGACTGGACAGCAATTTCTCTGAAATGGTTCCCCCCAAGGTCCCTTCTAAGTGTTATTCTGTTACTCTGACACCTTTCCCAGGACCTCTACTCAGAGTTTGGCATCCTCCGTTTTCCTGCCTGAGCAGGGAGTTGGACTAGAACAGGGGTCTGCAACCTTGACCTCTTTCTTTCTTTCTTTCTTTCTTTCTTTCTTTCTTTCTTTCTTTCTTTCTTTCTTTCTTTCTTTCTTTC